CGAACCACCACTCACCTCAACCGCCACCTCAGTTCGCCGCCAATGTCGACCAGCACGATCCACGATATCGTTTACCCTTAATTACTCGCCGTTACCGACCTATTCGACGTCCAGACCCATTCTCTCGTCAACATCACCCTATTCGCAACATACCCATTCCATATCTGTCAACAAAACCTATGCATCTCTCGTTACTCCATTACACGATACCCATTCCTACCACTACCCACTCAGTTTCCTCACCCTTTTTCTTAATTTTCACTATTCTACCCTGTCAGGCGCAACACCACTCCCTTCAGCCTCCGTCGCCACATATTCGTTCGGCTCAATCGTACCCGAGGACCCTTACCGTTTTGCAGTATAAGTAGCCCATGTACAGTCCTTACATGCAGCGCAATAATATCCAGTATCGAAGTTTCATTCTCGCACTCGCTATCCAACAGGTTCCTTCTTAGCTCATAACTAACATTCCTTATCATCTCGCCTCGCTCTTTATCAACTAACTACATTCTCCCTATATTATCCAGCGGTCTACACACCCCCTTCCTACTCGCGCACTCTCGTGCGGTCTTACACAGACCACAATGGGACGGGGGGTGCCATAGCAAATAGATGGGTGATGAACCGGGCGCTCTAGCAAATAGACGGGTGATAAACCAGGGCGGACAGGGGGTGCCATAGCAAATAGATGGGTGATGAACCGGGCGCTCTAGCAAATAGACGGGTGATAAACCAGGGCGGACAGGGGGTGCCATAGCAAATAGATGGGTGATGAACCGGGCGCTCTAGCAAATAGATTGGTTTTGAATCAGGTGCACAACCATTGTTCTTCTCGTCCTGCATTGCAAGAGAGCGCTGGCAGGTGCACCATGGGACAGGAGGGTGAAGAGAACATACCTGCATCTGGTTCATGTTCACAAAAATGTCCTGCCCTTAAGTCGGCCGTGTCCCTACCTTCAAAACAACCTCACATCACTGGTATCATTCATGCACAATGTCTATGATTAATAGAGCCTATTGTACAATGTTTTGTAACATGTCTTGTCATTGCACAATTTACACAATGTGTTTTGATAAATTAACTGCCTAAGCTTCCGTATACGGAAATATTTGTGTTACAGTCACGCTGTGACAGGGGGCCGGAAGCTAAGGTGGGCCGGAAGCTAAGGTAAATGTCATGAGTTTTATTTTTGCACAACTCAGATACAATAGAACAGAGGATGTGACAGAGAATATATTATTAAACAATACACTGCAGAATGTTCTAAATGTTGCGCCACTTGTGTAATGATTTTATGGGGGAAGAAGGCATGAAGTCGTCACCAATGTCATCCAAGTCATCCAAGTCATCCGTGAACTCCGCATTCTGACCATACCTATATTCATCCGCTAACGCAATCTCCTCAATAGCATCCATCAGCTCCTCATCTTCAATTTTGCCATACTCCAGGTCACTCTCACAATCACCCTCTCTGTCTCCTTCCGAACTCTCGTCATCATCCTCACCCCGAAACGACGATCGCGCCTGATTATAAGCGGCTTGAACCAAAGCTTCGTCAGAGGGTCCCCAACTCGCAGTCGTTGGCCACGCGCACGGAATATTTTGAACCTTCTTCTTCCAGATGACGCAGATGTCGACAAGTTCATCTGCGCGAGATCGAAGGTGGAAAGACATCACTGGATCTGCGACTGTGAAGTAATTAGATACTGTTGATGAAATTGTACGCTGACGCACCTGCTGTATGCAAGGCAGTTTGCGTACTGTCCCACTCTGCTAACATCCACTCTTGAATGACGGCCCTCTCCCGCATCAGTCGAGCCTCCTCCTCATTGCACCGATCAACTTCAAGTTGCAACCGGATACCATTCCTGACCGTGTCATCCGATAGCCACGCTGGAGGGTTCAAAGTGTCGTCATCCAGCCCAACGTCTTGCCAGATGTCGTCATCAACGTCGAGCTGAAAGACGCCGTCACGCGGGATGATATGAGGGGGAACGGCAGAAGGGGGTGCTCGTCGCCGTTGTATAAGAGACCGTAGTTGAGAACACAAACTGTTGTAGGTAGTAATTAATTTGAGGATGCCAGGCTCTCGGCGTTTGATTGAGTGTTGTGTATTCGTGTGAAGCTTACACTCAGCTGGAAAATTCTGAGATGTATCAGTGTAGTCAAACTATCAACGCACCATTGACTGTGGCTCTGTACGATCTCTCAAGTCTCTCCAATTCGAACTTTCGTTGACGAAGGCGATCACGGATGCGAGTCTTGATTGCGAGCGCATTCAAGCGAACTGTAAGGTAAGTATCCTTCTTCATCTTCTCCAGGTTGACCTTGTCCTCCGTTCCAAGTGCCGCTCGACAACGTCGGAGAGTGTCAGCGGTTTTTTTATACCGAGAGCGCGCATCTACTAGCTGCAGATTGACTTCCCCAATGTTAGGGACACGGACACCGAGGCGTTGCATCTCGAGTTCGTGTATGGAGGCCTCCTGAGCTTGTAGTGTCTTTTCTAGTGCTAGGATAATAGTGATCACCTCCGCTGCCTTGTTTCTAGATTGTCCTACATGGCGTTCAGTCAAGCAGTAGGCACACTTAGCTATCTACATACGTGGTGTGGGTCGCGTCTGATGATCAACCTGGGCCTTCCACTCTACACGGAGCGCATTCTCGTCCAACTCCAAGGCGTGCAAACGGTCCAGCACATCATGCTTCTTCGATTGACAGTGAATCCAACACCGATGGAGCCAGTGTCCAAATCCTTGCAACGATTTCGAGTCTAAGTGGCGAATTTGAGTATCGAGGACAAAAAGTCGCTGATTAAACTTCGCCGAAGAGTGAGATAAATAGACGGATTAGAAAAAAGAATATGCACCCCTGAAACACGCAAGGAAGGGATGAGAGGCTTGAGGAAACTCCATAACCGCTCACATCCCTCACCATCAGACAAGCCAAATCCCTCGCGCTTCCTAGGGTGGTAAACAATCTGACACGCCCACTGGTGACCATAGGCATGGAACACCGCTACAGCAAATGCGATGCGAGATAGAATGGAATCGTCCATGAAGTTCCACTTGCGACAGCTCCGTTCGAGCTGGCATCCGATGTCGTACAAGAGCCCGATGGTCATCTGAGGAGGGATATGTTTGAACAATCGGTCCAAGAGAGCAAGCGCATAATGCTGCTTTTCTCCCGCGGATGTCAGGTTCGCGATCCATAGGACATGGTCATGCCTACAAACCAGTGCCATGAGGCCAGTATCGGTAAAGAAACGAGTACTTGCCTTCTCCCGCTTTTCGTCTGCAGCAATGAAGGAGTCGCCACATCCGTTCAAGACAGATACTGGTATGCGCATGCCCTCCTCATAGCCATCTTCATCAGGTTCTGCCCTCGAGGTCCTTGCTTGCCGTCTGTCTCTGCGACACCTTTCAACAAAATCTTCCATTGCTTTCACATCGTCCGTTGGTAGAAAGAAGGATGGTGTCGGGTTGGGAGGATCGCTACCAGCAGCACCGCGAGGATTTGCAGAGCGTTTCTGTGTGAAGCACGCGTCAATGCAAACGATGACGTCTGGCCTATAAATGATTAATTGTTGTAGTAGCATAGTAAAAAATAACCCACATAGGAAGAGAATCTCTCGCTCCGTTTCGCCAATCGTTCCCTCCGAAACAGAGTGGGCACCGCGAGCGGAGATAATCACTAGGTTGGTCCACGCGAGCACCATCTGTCCGGGAACCAACCACGAGGGTAGAGATATGATTCTGAGCCAATACGGTCAAAACCTGGTACCAGTGGAACGCATTGCTGAAGCGACACCGTAAGCTATTCTGTAGGAAGGTTAAGCATGGATATGCAACCACGAGAACAGAAATTTCTACCTTCAGCCTCAGCTTATATTTCATTCCGTCCAGAAAGGTCTCCAGCGCATCACCCCACGCCGTTTGGTTGGGGGACTGACGAAGAAAAAGAAGGCGGACGAACTCGAGAAGTCGTAAGTCCACTGCCAGGGAGGGTGCCAGGGGCGCGCATGGAAAAAGCCTGCGACGAAGAAGCTGAAGTGGGGCAGGTGAACAAGGGCAGGCGATGATGGCGATTTCCTCGAAAGCTATAATGTACATCAGATTAATGTTAGAAGAGAAAAAAAATGATAACATACCACCAAAAAACACGCATGCAACTTTGATGTTGCGAGTTCTGCACCCAGTACCGCACTCTCCATCAGTCCGATGACGTATCGCTGGCGTGTTGGCATGACGTAGCGATACAGTCTCTTGAATGTATGATAGGTAGGGCACTATCATGGCCGGAATAATATCTTCCGACCATCTTCGCCACTGATTAGCCCTTTTCTGGGAGCTGGTGAGACGACGGGGAGAGGCGTCATTGGAAAAATGCATGGAGTCGCTGAAAGGAAACACAGGTCCATCATCCCTCTGTCCGGGCTCCGTCCTACATATGGACGATGAACGACGCAGCCTTTGCTGTGCTAGACGTTGTCGTCCTGGCAGAACTAAGATGGGTGGTGGGCCAGGAAGATAGAGGTCGAGTTTTGTTGTCTCGCGGGGACGTTTCCATCTATTGACCATCCAAGGTTCGCAAACGATAGTGGTCGGCTGATGTATCGACAGAGGTGATGATTGGTGGGTTGTTGCCTTATGTAGTCGAGGTTTTGGACGGCGGACTGCCATTGAGTAATGCCCTAAGACTCGAAGTCAACAAGGCAGGAAACAGTGACACAAAGTCAACCAGGGGAACTCAGCCCACAGACGCGTAGTCTGGGGAAGTGTGATTGTAGTGACCGGTGGTGGCGGACGTAGATGGACGAAGTAGGATCACTAGTGAAAAATCAAAACAATCGCATTGGGCTAAAAAATCACGAAGCACTACACCAAAATACTATGGGATCGTTCAATGGCGCTTAAGGATAGAGCCAAGTCGAAGATCTTGAAAGCAGATCGAGTCTGATTTGGATGCGGATACACTGCGCTAAGTTTGTTGATGAGTGTGTTGTAGTTCGGATCTTCGCGTGGTTATACTACGTTGTTCCAGAAGAAAGGGTGAGCCTTGCTGTCATATCATAGGTATGTGAAGAACACGAAGTGAACTCACCGCCCCGCCATCGTGATGAGTCTCTTGCTCAATGTCTGAAACATGCACACAGTGAGTACGTATCTTGATCTCGTAAAGCCGAAGCTCGTAAATCCAAAGAGAGGAAAATAACCGATGCAGATCGTAATGCCGGAGTAAGATCATAGTCCGCTGATGGTTACCATACAAAACTGAATAATGGAGCACACTACACAGGAATGTCCAATTCAACTAAAAGGAACACAACTGCATGAATTTGATTCTAAGGTAACGAGAACGGACAACAGAAAATACGTCAGGACAAGTATGGAATCATGATTGCATGGGAAGCGAATGGGGTATGATTGGGGGCCTGCCGAAATGATCAAAAAATGTCTGGACATAAAACGCCGTCGCCACACGCTTGACTTCCCAAGATTTAGTATCTGTGAAGTTGTCTAATGTCAGCGGGGTTACGAGAAGAGGCGGCACGCCATCCCAGTCACAGAGCAGTCGGCGAAAATTCTCCACGTAAGGAAGACAGCCCTGCAGGGTGTTATCCCACAACCCGTAATGTTCCGACGGAAACGGCTCTGACCACATCACTAGACCAGCGTCGCCCGAGAAGATGCCATGGAGGAGTTGCTCGCGACCAGCTGGATCATCTCTCCATCGTCTCTGTGCCAAGTGACGGTCAAGGTCCCTCAACTCGTATCGAAAGCCGAGTTCAAATAGCTCCCATGTAACCTTCTGGGCTAGAAGTGCGGAAGGATTAGTAAGACTGGCGACAGAGAATTGTTCACCCCGAAATTCCACAACTCCATCTGGGGAAAATACATCGCCCTGAGATTCTAGCACATCATCGCCGAACAACTCCCGCATCACCTGCTTCCGCTTCTCGGTGGCCGTAAGACCCTTTCTGTCGGGATCTTTCTCCCTATGAGATTGTGGCTGGGCAGAAGGCACACTACCAAGGAAGTCGCGCCATAGTTGAGGAGTGGGGTAAGTGCGTGGAGGATCGTGGTCGACTCGGCCTACCCACAGCGCACGACATGCAAGCCAATTGACAAGATATACTTGCAGACGTTCAGCCAGTTTGGGGCCGATAAGAAGAGCAGGCTCGGGGAATCTATACCCCCGATCAATAACGTAGGGTGTGTGAATGCGAGACTGGTCTTTAATTGCAATTTTTCATCGCGGCTTCCCAATGAAGGTTCGGCGGCGGAAGGTAGGGAGTGTCAGGATCTTGCCACTTGTTCCTTGATTCGCGTGACGGAGCAGGACGTGCAGGGCGAGCTTCAATAGAGTCTACAATGATGAGTATCCAACGTGCACAAAAGAAAGAGAAGCTTACATGGCTGGTGTGTTGGCCTACTCTTCTGTCGAGATGGCGCCTTGCCAAGACTAGATACCTTGGGACCGGGATTCGATCTGGACGATGGTTGAGGTATGGCTGCCTCAGGGTCTAGGTGTGTTGTGCCTGCATATAGGCGGCGAATGTGCACATGACGCTCACGACCACCGGGACCGCGGTGTATCACTTCGAATGGGCAAACTTTCCTGCCCTCCGCGTACATGCCAATGATGATGTGATCCGGACGGGTAAGCAAAACAGGTTCGACAACCGTCATGCTCGGGGGAATGTACGCGCTTGCACGAACATACCACACAGGGACACCAGCACAGAACAATTTCTCGCATACATCACTACTCTGCACGAAAGCGCCCATCCATTCGCCCCGAACATTATGACGAAGGCCTGAAGTAGTGAGTGGTTGAGCTATAAGTGTCCAGTCGAAGTAAGAGTAGATATCGAGAAAGAGATGCTGAGCATCGGTGACGAAAATGAGAAGATCACGAAAAGTGAGGGGGTGCGATTTCAAGCGTGCGACAGAGTGTCGGAGGGACAACAGGCGGCCGTATATAACTTGGCCTCTGTCTGGATGGACCTTTCTATAATCACGGAGTCGTTGTTCCGCCAGTTTGAAGAGGGATTGCAGGCCATCGACCTTATCCGACGCCAGTGTGCCCACAGGAAACGAATTCCCGGGAATAGGCTTAAGGTCATCTGGGGTAGGAGTGAACCAAGCCCAGTGGAGCGGGTGAGGACACGGAAATGACTCCTTTCGAGGTATGCAAGTGGCGTGGCAAAAGGTATCGTCGTATGCCTGAGGCCATTGGAAGCAGTCGATCACACCAAATCGACCATCTGCACGGGCTTGTAAGACTTCTGCATCAAAGTGATGAAATTCTGGAACAAAATGCATGTTGGGAGTCGTGATGACCAGATTGCCCTGGACGGCAACGGCGCGAGTGTCGAAAGCTTGTAACCAAGCTGTTGGAAACTTTGGCGTCAGCGCATGAAAGACAGACAGAGAAACACATACCGTCTGAGATGACGGTATTCGCTTTGAACAATGTCAGAGCATTGGGCATGATGTGTACTAGAAATCTTAAGCACGCAACGCAAAGAACAGGCGAAAAAGTATACATACCTTGTGTCTGATTGCGGAATATAATCGTGGGAGTTCGAGTCGCTGACCATGAAGGAGCAAGAACGCCAGGATAAGGATGTGAGAGGAAATCAGTAAAAGTAAATGAGAGACAAGTATATACCTTACCAGCTGTAAGACGCTCAATGTAAAGGTCAAAGAAAATACGAGCGGTGCAGATCGATTCCAGTTGGAAAGCACTCCCGAGGAAGATCTTCAACCCTACTGGTGCAGCAACAGGTGAGCAGCCAGGGCGATCCTCCAGACACGTAGTCTAGGAGCGTTGGACCAGCGACGCGTAGTCAACTGATCACTTGAAGTGAACGGCACGAAGCCAGTTCAGATGGGTAGAAGTTGGAGTCGAGGGGAACCTGGGGGGACGAGAGACACAGCGATGAGAATGAAGATAGAGGAAAGGCGACTGACAGCGAGAGGTAGTTAGTAGCAAAAGAGAATATCACCAAGTGGGAAAATCCCAAATGAAGTTCCGACTAAACATGAGCGGCAAGTTCAATTGTGGGAAAGTCCCATATCCAAGTCTTTCCACTTACTCAATCCATCGTCTCATTCGTCCTTCGTCGTCTCAATCGTCCTCCACCCATCATCTTACCACCCTTATCCTTCGCCCCGAAAAATGTTCTACCTCCCTGGATGTCCTGGCTCCACGTTTTTTGAATTGGCTTCGTGCCATTCACATCCTGATCCATTGACTTCGTGTCTTTGATCAATCACTCCTAGACTGCGTGTCTGGAGGATCGCCCTGGCTGCTCACCCGTTGCTGCACCAGTAGGGTTGAAGATCTTCCTCGGGAGTTCCATACATTTTCTATCCGCTCAGTCGTGCTTGGACCTTCATATCGAGCACTCTAAGTTGAGTGCACATACATTTTTATTCCTCCACGCCTTCTTCTGATGTCCTTAATGTCTTTTCAGGTCTCGTTTGGCTCATGCCACACTTTCTGGTGCGTCGTTCATCTCCTTCAGTTGAGTGCACTCGTCTGTCTTTTTATCTGCTTCCTCTGATTTTCATTCAAGTCTTTTCGGGTCTCGTTTTCCTCATGCCTCCCTTCGACGTCCGTCTCCTTCAGTTTCAGTGCACGGTGGTCTTGGGGCAGTCTAGTTCCTTCGCCGCAACACTTAATTTTCGTTTTCATCGGTCAGTGTCGTTCTCTATCCCTCAATGCGTCCATTCCATCCATAAATGTAAACTTGTATAGCAGGCTTCAAGCACAAATCACTGCTGATGGTACTCGCCTCATGTGGCTTATATCGTCTTCTCTTCAGGACCTTTCAACTTGGAGCGTAATTGGATCAGAATGGTAAGTCTACCGCACGTTCTACAGTAGGCATTTGTACTTATCCCTGAATGTGTCCATTCCATCCATAACTATAAACTTGTATAGCAGGCTTCAAGCACAAATCACCGCTGATGGTACTCGCCTCTTGTGGCTTACATCGTCTTCTCTTGAACTTTTAACTTGGAGCGTAATTGGATCAGAATGGTAAGTCTACCGCACGTTCTACAGTATGCATTTGTACTTATCCCTGAATGTGTCCATTCCATCCATAACTATAAACTTGTATAGCAGGCTTCAAGCACAAATCACTGCTGATGGTACTCGCCTCATGTGGCACAGCGTGAGCGTATCAAAAAGGTCGGTCTACTGCATGTTCTAGAGTAGGGTCTAGTGGTCATACCTATCACACAGATCTTCTCACCAACCTCCGTGCTCTCTGCCCTGTCATTACCATTAATTTGGTTCCATTTCGTTAATTTAACACATCTCCTGAGTGATTGGTGGCACCAATTTTGTTCGGCTGTCAGGCGAGTTATATTGTAACTTTATTTCTTTATGACTGTTGATCTTGATTATTTGGACAACCAGTGCCAAGCGAATAGAATACTTCCTTAGGAATTCATCACACTAACCGCCTTAGGGTCTTCTCATTGTATATATAATGCTCTCCGATCTATTGGTACTCTCTCAATTTCTAGTTTTATATCTGCTCTTACAATCTGAAATCTTCTTTCGCATATTCTCACCTGACTTCGTGTCGGTGAAATAAAATTGTAGAGAGACTTCGTGTTTCTTTCAACGTATCTTCTTCGTATCTTCGTGACCACGAGGAACAGTCCCAAATATGCCTCTTACTACCTGCTCTGGGCGCCAGCCAAAAGCACCACTTCGAGCCGATCATGTTTCCACCCATACGTCTGATGGCAACCAAGCACGTTCCCGCCCTGGTCCGAAGTCGGTCAACGCCAATGTAAGGCTATAGGTGTCATTTTGCTATGTACTGACTCGATGTTAGTTACCTCGCCCTCGGCCTAAGCCTCGTGCCTTGGCAAGGTCCGCACGTACTGATCCTATGACATCATCTGCTGAGGAAGAAATTTTCTTTTCCAATTTCGCCAGGCGCTCATTCGTCAGGAACAAGTCCAGTGGCGCGAGTGAGGATCCCGAGGCCCAGTTACCTGACAGTAAGTTCGCTGATTCTTACCAAGTTCCACCTTCTGACTACTGCTCATAATTCCGCAGATGGCACAGATAATGAAACACCGCTAGGTGTGTTTTCTTTTTTCGTGTTCAACGTTAAATAACTCTTGTCCCTCAGCTAGTCTCGAGGACGACGGTGCTGTTCTCGACAATGAGAGTGACACAGGTACAGGTATTGTTCACTCATCTGCAGAATAGTTTTCAACGTTAACATGTTATATTGCAGTTCTATCCAATGGTAAATGTAATGATCCTGCAGCGACGAATGAAAGGGAGACAACAGCCGGTAAGTCTTGTTACATTTTTTCTGGTACACAACCAACATATTCTTTTACAGCTCCGTCCGACAGTGAAATTGGCAATCCCGCAGCGACAAATGAACCAGATGAGACTGGGGGTGATTTTTTCTTCAAACATCTTATGGTACGCTGCTGATATATTTATCACAGCTCAGTCCGACGGTGAGCACAGCAGTACCGTAGCAACGAACAACCGGGTCAATCCTGCAGGTAGGTTTCGTGTTACATTTTGTATTGAAGTGACTAAACATGTCTCACTACAGTTCCGTCTTCGAATGAAGCGAATGAACGCGATGGTAATGCAGCGGTGAATGAAAGGGGCATGGATGCATGTAAGTTTCGTCATCCAATTCGTAGTACATAAACTAAACTGATTTATAAAAGCTCCATCCAACGGTGACAGCGTGATCCAAACAAACGAAGGGGAGAAAACCGCAGGTAGGTTTCATTAAATATTTCGTAATACACCGTTCATATGTTTTTTAACATCGATAGTCACTCGCCCGCGCAGATCCGGTGCTCAAAAGTCGTACATTCTTTCCCACGAGGGGAAATCCTCAGAGAGCTCTGGTTCTGATAGCGACTGGGCTGAAACAGAAGAGAAACGAAAGAAGGCAGAGTGCCGTGCAGACCCCATGAGGTCCCCAAGACTGTCTGCAGAGGGACAGCAGAAGGGAATGGCAGAGGCAGAGGCAGATGACCCTGAGGATGATTCCGAGGGCTGCGACGAAGAAGACAAGCTTGAAGACGGGGACGAGACCACACGTAAAGCGGGCAGGCTATCTAAGGAAGCCATTTTGGCAGTACATGATTTTGGGAAGAGGGTCCAGGCGGAAGCGACCGAAATTGGCAAACGGTTTGGGAAACATCGGCAGGTCATTCTGATGGAGGCAGGATTAGCGAGGAAAGCAACTCGCAAGGAGTCCATTTGGAATCAGCATCAAGCCTGGTTTAAAACTGTGCTGCACCCGTCCAAAGCAGGTATGTTATTGCGTTGATCGTTGTTCCGATCTGTATTCATACCCTTTCAGCGAGCTTGCAGGCATGGAAAGCCAAGCAAGCTGAGCATTATCATGCCCACTCATACAAGGACCCTAAGAACGCGGCTCTCTGGAAGCAAATCCGAGAGCATTTTGATCACGCGATTGCTAGTCCTGACGATCTATCCTCTCGCGAGTCGTGCAGTCTTATGATGGCAGTCCGTGAAATGTTTGCGAAATTGGTGAGTGCTGTTTTGGTGACTAATGTTCATTGGTAACGCGACCTTATGAAGGCTTTGTACTGGCACTGCACATATGGAATTCATGTCGCTGGTATTGTGATCTATCCAGGGGATGAGGAATCTGGCCGCCAGGCATCCGGCTTTTTTGCGGGCTCAGATATTGTGAAGGCCCTCATTGACGCTCAACGAGTAGATGCCAAGCATATGATAGATGAGATCACGACAATCCTTAAGTGGGTTTTTCCTTTCCTCAAAGGCTACATCATCCTAACATACTTGGGATATATTACAGGTACAAGGACTTAGAAGCTGCACAAGCAGCTGGCAAGAATATTAAATTTCTTCCGCCGCCTGCCCCAGCCCCCAATGCCTCGCTTCTACGCAACGGTAAATCCGACAGGGATAGAAATCACATGGTTGCACCTGTGGTTATCAGCGAAGCATTCGGTTTGTGTCTCTCACCTGATCCTACTGCTGGTGCTCACATTTCTTTGGTAGCTGATGCTGGTCATGCGCTAAAGACTTCGAATAGCAGGTGGATGACAATGCTTGACGTCCTGTACTCGACAAGGTTATGCATCCATGACTGGCCCGCAGGAGTTCCGCCCCCTGGCCCTGATTTTGACCTCAAATCACTGTCCGCAAGTCAGTTACGCGCCCTTGTGGGTCCGTATTTGAGGATCCATCTTGGTGATACGTATGAGGCTGAGTTGGGCCGAGATGAGGATGAGGATGATACCGATGCAGAGAAAGCTAAGATGGCCAAGCGGAAAGGCAAGTCCAAGAAGTCTGATGAGCATCGACGGACAAAGGGTGCTGTTGTGGAGGTGCCCGATGTTCTCTTATCTATCCAGGATTGGAGTCCTCGTGCGTTTTCCAGTATTCGGAACCGCACACCAATTAATATCTTTACACTACAGTTCAGGTGCAGGATCTCATCTCGTACACTGGCGAGGTGTACACAATTCCTCTGGTCATTGATACAGATGGTGTCATCTTACGTCGTCTCAAAGATTCAGAAAAATTTATCAAGGACCTCCCTCCCCACGTTACTCGCAAGCAAATAGGCAAGACGATTCGTGATGAGTATCCGACCTCAGATGCAAGTGCAGAGCACTCGTTCCCAGAAGATTCGCATCCTAATTTACGGACCAACTCGAGAGCGCACTCATACCAGCAGGTTTCGTGTCCTCGTGTTACGGCTCCACGCGCCAACTCCGGGGCTCCACGCTCTAATCATGGGGCTACGCGCCCCCCCAACTCTGGGGCTACGCGCTCAAACCAAGGGGCTTCGCGCCCTACTGCTGGGGCTTCGCGCTCCCTTGCTGGGGCTTCGCGCTCCGCTGCTGGGGCTTCGCGCCCCAATCAACTTGTCGCTAGGCACACGGACTATGATGATCTCGCTGACTACAATGACCTCCCAGCCGATTATGACAGTCTCCCACCATCATCTCCTTTTTCACCTGCCACGCCTCGAGGTTCAAATGTAGCCCATGGACGATCCCAGTACAACCGCCTGCGTGAAGACATCCGCCATTCATTCGCCCCCAAGCCAGACATTCGGAAACGACCTCGTGGTGATTATGAAACTATCAGTGAGGCCGACGACATCGAGACTGACATGGTGGATGATAGGCGTCGGGCCAGGACGCACGTACGTAGTCTACATCTTTATTTTATTGTTTCAATCTCACATACCTTTCAAATCGCAGGACAGAACAAGCATGGATCAAAGGTCCACTGTTGGTCATCAGTATGTTGCAATTATATTGTCATTTTTCAGTGCTAATGGATCACCATTCACTTAGGCGTAAGCCGATTGCTCGTGCTCCATCAATGGCACATTCAGGAGCGTCCTAATAACAACACTGCGCTTGTAGCATCT